TCCGCTTTGCCCAGCCGATTTCCATGGACTGTTTGGCTAGGCTTTGAAGTTCGAAGCATATATAGATGAATAATTTCTTATTATGTTGATCTCTTCAAAGCAGCTTAGTATTGACGACAGATGAAACGACCCCCGTTCATATATGTACGATCCTTCAGAAGTCCTTAGAAATGACCCCTGGACAATCGCACAGCCTCAGGGGCGGTCTATGAAGAGCAGAACGTGTATCTCGGCCACCCCGGCCACTATTACTGAACCCCTGATTCAAAATGATAGCTCTCATGCAAACAATGACCGTCCAAGTTCTGTACCTGCAGGAGGCACACTTTACGTGAGCCCATTTGTGCATATATCTTCGAAATGTCATACGCCTGTAGTCAGGTAGGTGGGGATCTCGAAGGTGCCGACGTATGCCAGCGACGAACTACTATCAGCGCTGTTCCGACTTCAGATGTTTCATGCGGGCTTTCGCTGATAAGGGCATTCATGCTTGATCAGACTACCGTCACCGCCCTTTGGAAGTGAAAGTTCTATGGTGATACGTCCTAGGTATGTCCTTCTTTCACTCTATCTTAAATAATATGCATCTGACGACTGATGTCCCTTGCGCATAAAGCAGACAGTACGAACTCTGAAACAACTAGGTATGTGGTGTCCCGTGACACGAGGCGTATTTGCATACGTCGTCGGCATGTCCGGCACACGTAAGATGGCCTCATCCATCACTGCCGTAAAGGGAAGTTTTCCCTGGTAATTTACCGAGAATGGTGGACGGTCGATTCAAGGAGTGATTGATGATACCTTCATGAAAGATATTCCATATATCCTGTGTCTGAGTATATATTTCTTAACTATCCGTAGAAATGGAACGATGACTGAGGCTCGACAATGTTGTTGTGCTTGGATAATATTATTTGGCGCATGATCCGAGGAGACAGCTCATATAGGATGTGAGGCGCTTCTAGTGGTATTACCACTCCAAGAAGCGGCTGGGGCACTGGTAGTGCGTAAGGTATGGTAAATGTTCATTAAGTGGGTGCCTTAAAATAGCAGCATTGATGAATAAGCATCTAGTTTGTTGATAGTTATGTTATGCCGTACTCCGTAGTCTGCTGGCATATCTGGCATATTCAAAGGAGCCGATAGCCCGACATTCGATGGAGAATACCACACTAGAACATTGTAGCTGACGGATTAATCAGAGCAGTCACTTCCAAAAAATGTCAAGCCAAAGTAAAAGTTCGAAGGTCAGGGCGCCCATTGGAGAAGAAGGGTCTAGACTGTCTCACATGCTTTGTCACTATTGGCCAGCGGTCTCTTAGTTGCAGCGCTAGTCTTGGGTCCGTACATTTATTTGCTGGCACTTGTGTTTGGGCTTTTCCACATTGGTATGGTGGTAACGGTAACGTGGTACCGGGTTAGGCCAAAATCTGAGACCTCTGGACTGGCAGTACAACAGTCCCTTGGGTACCATTACCAACCTGCGACGGTTTCTGTCTTTCATTATTTTCCTTCCTTCTGACTTTCCAACCCTTTCTTCCTCCTCCAGTCTTTTCCTTTCTATCCCGCCTCCCTTACGCTCGCTTCCTGCACATCGTGCCTCCTCTTCGAATTTGGTCATTCGTTAACCCCTCAGTTACTGTGTGCCTCTCCTGGCTTGAAACACCTGCACTTCACGCGCCAAAAGAGGTCTCACTTATTTGAATCACCTCAGTAGCCCCGTCTTGAGCCGAGTCATCTCATATACGGTCACCGTCTCGGCTTAAGAGATCTTCGACACCTTCGACTAAGTCAGCTCTCGGTCACGTCTCACACCTCACCCATCATGCGAGTTGACCGTCTATCGTTCTTCCTCTACTCTCTGGCCCTCGTGGCCGTCACCGCTGGCCAGAGCCAGGGAGTTACTGATATAGCCGCCGTCACCTCTGGAGTGCTGACCGGCACGGGCACTTCGACGACCTCGACAACATCATCGACTGAGTCCAAAGAAACCACTTCTACTACTAGTTCCGAGAGTACAAAGTCGACAACAAGCACATCAACAGATACTACCTTGACCACTTCCACTCAGCCTACCCCAACCACGACTTCTACAACTTCTAAAGACAGTACTACATCATCTACCACCACCTCTGATGGTACGTCGACCACTGAGACCAGCGGAACGAAGACTTCCAGTTCGAGCGATGTGGTCATGACGATCACCACGACTCACACGATCAGTGGAACGCCCGTGCCGACCACGTACACCACCACTTCTCCACAGGGCAGCAGCTCGACAGATTCCCCTAGCTTGAACGGCTCAACCAACAAGGACTCCAGCTCTGGTCTCTCTTCTTCTCAGAAGAAGACCATTATCGGTGTCGTGGTGGGTGTTGGTGGTGCCATCATCATCGGTGCTATTGCTGTAGTCATGTGGAGGATCCGTGCCAGAAGACGTGCTGCGGCCGACAACGACGAGGCTGCCGATCTCATGAGTGGCACAGCTGTCGGTACCGGTGCTCGAGAGAAGGCCCCCAGCCCTGGAGCTGGCGGTACACCATTCAGAAGTACACTTGACCAATACCACAATCCTGGTCCTGTCAACGCTGCGTCCAACTTCTAAGGGCCATCTAGGCCACTTCGGCCGATGACAGTTCCTGGGTACCCTTCAAGGTTGTACATGTATATGCACGTCTTTCTTTTCATTTGGCGCTTGAATGGGAAGCATCTTTGTTCTTTTTCCTTGCTTTCTTTCCGTTGACTGCGTCCTCGCCATCTGCGATCGTATCTTTTCTTGCATCGTGTCACTGGCACGCGATAGACTGTCTGTCATTCCTTTTGAAGATTACGCTCCTTTCTGCAACTCAGCTGGTTGTCTCACGATGGTCCTTTTTGATTCCCCCTTTCGAACAACTTGATTATGTACAGGCATGCAATGGTTCGTCTTATCTCCGTCGCCGTCTCTCCTTCTGCAACAATGGTTGTGATCGCATAGCCATTTGACCAAAATCTTGTCATGTACGTACCTTTTAATTTCAGACGGAAAAATAGTCCAAAACACACTCAAATCTATCACCAACCGTATTACCGGGGTACATGGTAGTCCGTGTTGAGTAGAGATCTATGACAGTTGCGGATGTGTCCATGCAATTGAGATTAGCAGTTTCAGTATAGGATCACAACAGAGCCATAAAAATGAAGCCAAGATTACTGCAATCTTCGCCAGACTCCATGATCGTTAAGTTTGACTTTGATGGATTGAGGTTCAGTCTATACGGAGTAGATGTCGCACAGGCTACAGCAAGCCAGGGTCGTCCTGAAACAAGCGCTCCCTTTCCCCGCTTCAGCTTCCGTGCATGGTTACTCATCGTCTCCTTCACTCAATCAAATGACGAATTTCCTAATACGACTTATCATTTACAAAACAATGCAAGCTCGATAGTCACGGTCAATAGGGTCGCTGCGCTTATACAGGGATTGTAGCGCATCCCAGAGCATTGATATCCGCGTCGCGTCCACAGCCAAGGCGTAACTGCAAACAAAATGAAAACAACTATCTCCTTGCTCTGTCTGTTCGCTCAGACAAGTTGTCTCCTCTGTCTTTGGTCATCATTCTCTCTGATTCAAGGGGTGGCGGCGTCAAGACATGAACCCCTAGGTCTGGTATATGAGGCGGCGGCGGCGCCGCCACCGTTAGGAAAACGACAGGATCTTCAGGTTCGGGTTACGCCTTTTGTCTCTCTGCTTGGAGCTTTCGGCTGAGTGGCTAACTGTATTCGTTGTGACGGCAGTCCTTTGCGGGGGCTTTGGGTGGTGCCGCGCCTGCAGTGAGTTGTTTTGACCAGGGTTACGCGTGCTCGTGGGAACCAGACTGATGTTCTCTTGTGTAGGTGACAAACACTGGGGATGCTGAGAGACCGTACGGTGTTAGTGGGAATACTTTTGTATGTTCCGTTTCCTGCGTCGTGCTGTTGCGGTTGTGAAGCCGATGGTCATGCTAATGGGTTATCATGCAGACGGATTTCGAGTCGGCTGCTCAACGGAGGTTCGTCTGATCCAGCGGTAAAGCATGCAAATGGAATGTTGATGAACTCTCGTGCTCGACAGCTGCAATGAGCAATTTGATTCCTGCCAAAAGGTATATCCCGCCGATGCCCAAATTGGGTCGTCTCTAACCGGAGTTGATATAGATAGCGAATACGGACCCATCGGCGTCCTTCTCGCTGCAGGATTGTCAGAACCAGCTGAGTAAGTTGACTTTCCGGCTCGCAGGAAGATATGACATGAATTGACGTCGATCTAGAAAGTTGCATGTCAGTATCGACGGTGCAGGCCACGGCGGCTAGCATCAACCATCTGGAGTCCGCAAGTGATACGAACTCAGGACCGATAGCTCAGACGACGATCCCATATGATGATGAATTCGATCTTGTCTGTGATTTATGATGGCTTTCCTGTACAAACTGCTGCTCCAAACATGAACATGCGCCCAGTCGTTGTGTTGAACATCATGAGGTAGATGAATCGACAGTTGCGTACATAGACTTCTACATGAGTGCATAATCTCTCATCCCAACTGGATAGTTTACTAGAACGACCAACAGGTGTGTACGCTCTTGTAACTGATGGGATGGATACAACACAGCCATAAGGTACACATCACTAACATCTCAGCTTGCACTCTCGATGTTACCTAGATCGCTGTAGATAATCTTGCGGCCTGAGGAATGCAATATCTCCTAATACAGATTAGCGTCTACACCAAGTCGCGTGACCCCGTGCAGAGACGCGATTTTAGCGTCATTTTGACCCAGCTCGCTATCGACGCGACGGTGGCTGGGACACGATAAAAGAGCAACGATATTAATCTCCAGACAAGCACCATGACTCCACAATAGACCCTGCTATCATTGACTCCCAAAATCAATCGCTATTGTCCGGAGTATTGGCCTTCATCAAAACAGCAGCAACTGACCCGATCTTGCTTCGACCGCCACCGCTTCCCACATCTAGTTACCATGTTCGCAGCAATCCCACCAGCACAGCCCTACGCCTTCCAAGCGTCCTGCTCGCATTATACGCCAATGCATCCGTCTCCATTGTCGCCGCGCAACTCGACGCATGCCTCACCACGGCCAATGAACGGGGTTTCCTCCGCATCAACAGGATCTACCGAACGTCGCGCAACAAGCAACACGGACCGAGCAGACTCGGCATCAGCCCAAGCACACAACTTTTCCTTCTTTACAGAAAACACGGACTCTACCGCGACCGCGACCACAAAATCAAGTCCTTTCTCCTCGCGCTCCCGTTCCTCGCCCACCTACGCACAGCGCTACGCAACCCTCTCCAACCCCCTCAACAATGACTCCCGGACATACGCCACCTCGACCTCGCCATCCGCGCGCAACACACGAAGGACCGTCTTTCTCAATCGAATCAAGGCCGACCGCGACGGGGAGCGGTTTGAGAACCGCGGCGAGCAGCTGATGATGATAGAACATATAGCGGAGCAAAAGCAGTGGGGGGAGCTGATGCGAAGGCGGGCGGACGGGCTCATGGAGGCGTATCAGCTGAATGAGGATCTAGTGGAGGACATGGATGGTATTGGTATGTGTCTTCTCTCGAGGGTGCAGGGAAATCAAAGAGAAATCTGACAGTATGTAGATGATGCGGATGTGCGTGCTTTGGACGAGTATGTCTCGGAAGAGCAGGCTATGGAAACTGCGCTGTTGGAAACGGTGCATGTGCCATTCGGGAAGACGGGAAGAACGCACGATGCGAGCTCCTCGTTCAGTGATGAGGAGTACGATGATATTTTCATGGGTCTGGCTGATCAAGTACCGCAGAGCCAGGATATGGATATGTCGAGTGGATGAGTGAGTATATTGGCGATGGTCATTTGAGCATGCATTGCTGGCGTTTGGACGGATATCTGGCGTTGGTGTAGGGAACTCTTCCCAGACTCAGGGATCCTGAGAGACTGGTTGTTGCATAGATCTATCGGCAGAGGCCGTATCTTCATTGATGTAAATAGGGTATCGACGTGATTATATGTACAGAACATGCCAATAATAGATGGTATCAAATCTAGACCAGACACCATCGCATCCAAGCCTCAAGCAATCACCATACCCACTAACATCGGCTCTCAGATGCAACCTTATTGCTGGGGACAGTCAGGCAAAGCGGCCCCAGACCCGTCGCCTGTAACGTCCTCCGGCCAGGGATTCGCAACCAGTTCTTCCGGGGGACTACCCAGCGCTTGCATCTAGAGGGTATGAGCATATGCCATACAGGGAAAAAGAAAAACATACCTCTTGCATCTTCTCCCACACAGCGTGCCGATACTTCGGATCTTCATCTGTATACCCTTCTTCCTCGAACTTGGCCACAATCTCGGTCACAAGCTTAGCCTGTTTCTCGTACCGCTCCAAATCCTCAGCAGGAACCTTGCCCTTATTCTCCTCCAACCACGGCCCCCACTTCGCATCCAATTCCTTCATCGGCTCATACAGCATCTCCTTGTTGGAAAACTGCTCCATCACACCGGCAATCATCTGAGTGAGATCGAGATCGTCGCCCCCGTTTCCGACGCCCGCCTCCAACCCCTTGAGCAACTGCATCAGCATGTCCTCCGAAATCTCCCCGTCCTCCGTCGCCGCCGCCGTAGCCTTATCCCCAGACTCCTTCATCCGATGGATAGTCCGCTGAATGGCATCGTTGAAGGACTCTGGCGCAGCGGTCCCGGCACCAGTCGCAGACCCGGACTGTCCACCGGTACTCGGGCCTGCGCCTGCACCTGCACCTGCACCTGCACCAGCACTCGCACCAGCACCTGCACCGGCGCCCTCGCCTTCCTCCGCCATGACATCCGCCAGCAGCTGCTTCAAAAAGTCACCGGGCGGGATCCCGCTCTCCTCGAGCTGCTTCGTGAACGCGTCGGCCCCCTCGTTGATCGTGTTCTCGAACTCCTTGTTATCCGACGCGCCGGACTCCTGCGCGGCGTGGTTCATCATCTTCGCCATATCCTGCTCGAGCTGGCGCATGAAGGCGTCTTCGTCAAAGTCTTCACTGGCGGGGGCTGGTGCGCTCGCAGGTGCGGGTGCGCTTGTGCCTGGCTGGGGGGTGGGTTTGGAGAAGTTATCCAGTACCTCTGGGTCAGGTCAGCTTCGTCAGCTCGTCCATCATTCGTGTGCAGGGGTGGCGGGTCGTACCGTCCAACTCGTCAAACTCCGAGTCTTCGTCCTCGTCGGCATCTTCTACGGTCACTTTTGATGAATGAACTTCATTTGGTGCCTCTGTCCCTGTAGCTGTGGGCTCCTCATCGCCAGGCGAGCTTCCGCTGGTTGTAGGAGCTGGTGTAGTGCGGTTGGGAGCGTTCACTGCGGGGGCGGGTGCGCTCTCCTCGTGATGTTGCTGAGTGACGCCTGCACTGGTATTCGGTGACGAGGAGTCCATTGTGTTGGTATACTCCTGAGTAATTCCGAGAAAACGACTCGAAAAGAATCAAAAGGGTAGAGACCGGCGCTGTGGTGAAAGGGAGTCTGGCAGACGCGCGCATGTGAAGGAAGAATTGTCGGGGTTTCTTTTGGCGGGGAACCGAAAGCCGATCGCCGCGGCATCGCCTGTACTCACCTTACGTACGGAGGACGCCGTGCGGGTGTGCTACTATTTCTTCAGATTGGCCTTACAACGCGCTGGAAAGATTTGACCCTTTTATACACTCTCATGTATCCTTACGAATCCACTCATCCTCTTCTAGTTCTTTAGCGGAGCTACGCTTCCCCGGCTCCCACTGCAACATTTTCCGCATAAAGCGTAGAAAAATCGCTTTGTCCTGTCCCTCGAGAGTGGTTTCCCTCTCCTCGAGCGGAATCCGATCTTGTAATGGAATTCCAGCGCAGAAGTCGCCTAGAAGATCAGACATGGTGAGTGGATAGCGGAATTGACCATAAAAGAAGTTGTCTTACCTTCATCGGAAAAGAATTTGCTGCTCAGCTTCCCTTGAGCAAGAAGACTGAGCGGCGGGGACCCAAGGAGACCGATCATCTCAGCAAGGTGAGCTCGACTTCGGTATGTCTGAAGTTCTGGGTCGTGGCCAGTGAATAAGGACTCCCCTTCAAAAAGGTCCCAAATCTGTGATACAGCTGTTCAGAAAACTGCAGCAGCAGTATCATCAGACCTATTGGCTTACCATACATCCCACATTCCATATATCGACGCTGTACGTCCAGGGAACTTCCAGAATCACCTCCGGTGCTCGATAGATATTAGGTTGAATGTCTTCTGAGTGCTGTATGCCACTGGACATTGCTGAGCCAAAGTCGCAGAGGACCGGGGCGGCCCATTCCCTGGGCATTCGGAGTTCCCGGGAGACGTAGATGATTCTTCCATCTAGCTCCTTCCTCGGGCAGGGAGTTTGAAGCTCCCGCTCTTCAAAGTCACTGAAAACCGAGTCATCGGCGATGCCAAGCATGATGTTGTCGGCCTTGATGTCTGATGAAATTCTCAAGTAAGTAGATGATAGGAGTAAAGGAGCATGGAATCGGAGCACAGACCAGTATGTATATATAATCTGGCATTCTGTATGCAGAAAGTCTAGTGCTAAAAACAGTCGCTGCAGCACAAATGCGAGGACTGGTTTAGGCAGCCTACAGACTGGGTTGCGGTGCAGAAACATCAAAACACTCTCCCATAATGGAGGATGCACGAGGCATCGGTGTTTGTCGTCGGGCCCATCGACATCAAACGAGTCGAGTAACGATCTAATAGCCTTGCGACCTGGGTGGCTTTTCGGGGCTCTCTCCATGCGTTGGTACATCTTGAGCTCGTCGTCTAATTGCTGACCCATGGATGTAGACTTGATGAAGACCTTGAGGGTAACATAACGACAACGGCTGTTATAGCGCGTGAGCGAGCTGATTCATAACTGCCATAGGAGTCTCACTTCATATCCCGAGCAAGCCATACAGTCGAGCTAGTTCCGAACCCTAGTTTTCCTACGATTTGGTATCGGTCCTTGAAAATCTCTCCTATTCGAGCAGGATAATACCGCGAAGCAACATAATCTGGGATGGTTTCTTCTTCGATCTTCTGACTGGCAGGTATCCGGACGAAGTTCGGATTGGAGAATTCGCGGGGCTTCCATGTCCGTCCGAGTCGAGATAAAGAGCGTAGAAGCGATGGAAACATTATCATAAGAACTACTTTGTAAATCTCCGGAAATGAAAGAACAGAATGAATCCGATCGACATCTACGGATGCTCTGTTGTTTAGGCACTAGCCCCTGACACCACGGGAAATCACAAGCAATTCTTGCGCATTATAAGCATCATGCAAGGGACTTCACACTTGTTAAAGACAAGGCTGCTGCTATGGGGCTATATATCATTCAGCAAGATAAAATCATGGGGAAGTGAGGAATCATTCAAAAGACTAGCTTTAATTGAATGACAGAAGCACTTTTAAGGTAGGATTTAAGTAGACGGGTTCCCTGGTCACAAAGCCACATTGCGGGATCTCCACATAACAGATTTAGCCGCCAGACACTTCCTGTGACCAACGACAATATCAGAACATAATCTGATGAGGCCAGAACCACGTTTGGGTTCGGCAGAAGTTGAAACCAGTACAATAATTGACCAGTATCTCAGTCGCAATGGTGTCAGTGGGCGAAAGCAAGCTCAAGCCGATGTTTCATTTCTTCTAGCGGAGGCAACGTGTTGTTCGCCTGAGCAGTAGTAGCCAGGCCTCAGCATCAATGTTGAGCTTCATACAAGCATTCTCCATAGAGCTTCATCATGTTGGTCAATATATCGGACTTTGTCCATTTTTCGGCGTCCGAGCCCAGGTCTACGTGCCCTTGGCAATTCCATGCTCCGTAGTCCTCCAGATAAGTAGGCAGCCTTTATGTTTTCTGATTCTGTCTTGGGGTTCGGGGCACCAAAGACGCTGCCAGTGGTTATTGTCTAGCACCTACGAAGTAAACAGGAGAAAGTTTCAAGAGGCGCACTAAGATTCTAGGCAAATTGCTTGTACTTGTCCTGCAACGACTGCCAATATTTCCAGCTTCACACACAGATACAATGCTCCTGGACGTCTTCGCCGTCTTCTCAGTTGGCAGTTAATCTGGACAGGATGCGTGCGGTACTGCCTGTTACGTTCTGGTAATCCTAACGGTCACAGACCTTGATGCATGCGGTCATGAAATGCTGGCAAACGGCACATATTTGAAGCAGTTCTGAAGAGATTGAGCTATAGCTTGCTGTATTTCTCCTTCGCCTCACATCTCTTGCCATTTCTTCCGCTGTGGATTCGAGAGAGCAGGATTCATATTGCTGGAATAGGGGTCGTCTTTTATCGCCCGACAGCTGCTCCTGGGATCAGTCCTCGGAGATAGGCATACAAATTACGAGTATCTTCAAATGCAGATTGAATCACTGTTGTTGCTCGAGGTTACGATGTTTTAAGAGTTGGATTTCACTAATCATAGCATGACCATTAGAATTCGGCTATCCAAGTTCTTAGTAGGAAGGTCTCTAGGTCTCAATCCCGACTCGGCCTCTGGCCATTGGCTTCCCTGGCTCATTGACTCAGGAGAGACGGGTCTGATTACTCCGTAGTCGAGGTGATTCTTTAAGAGCCTTACCTACTATTTACCTATGGGTTGGTAAAAAAAAATCGGCAGGGTCCGACCTGACCCTCAAAGAAGTTTCAGGAAAGGATCGATTCACTAGAGGGGAATTAGCATGTAAAATAAGATCCCATTATTGAAAAGGGGCAATAGAGTAGAGCCCTTCTAGCACGGTGTATTTACTCCTAGTAGAGTCGATGTAACAATTTCCCTCTTAAAAAGCATCTAGAAATGAGATACCAGAGGAATCTGCAATCCCTAGATGGAGGGCCTATAGGATTGGCATCTTGACGATTGTTTACTTTTATTATCAAGGACAAAGATCATGGTGAGTCGACAATGCCTCTCTGGCGTTCTATTAGCTAGTCTACCCCGCGGAAAAGACACCCCTCATCCCCCTGACAGTTTGCCAAGAGTGCAGGGAAAAGCTCAGATCATCAGATGATGTGCCCCGTGGCTGATCCTCGTGATGTCACTCCTTGCCTGTGTCTTTGGCGCTTGGGGTAAGTCTCTTCACAACTAGATGATGATAGTCGACAGGGATACGAGGTAACTGCCAGGCTTTTCGGAGGTCTCCTATGTCCTGCCAGAGGAGGTCATGTGCCATAACCCGGAATTAATAGAGGTAATAATGCTTCTGCTAGGATCAAGTACTCATAGGGTAATTTAGTCGAGCTTCCTGATGGAGATGTATGTTTTGTTTGGCTGTTCCAGACTGCACGCGTCCCACGGTCCTCCGTACGTACTGTGAGCCGATGGAAGCCGGCATCGGCGGGTCTCGTCCGTGCTGTACGGAGTACTCCGTACGCCGTACATGAATGCCATAGTCCCTGCTAGGCTGCAATTCAGCAAGCCTAGTTTATGAATGCAAACATGGTTTGTCGGGAAGTGAAAATTCAACTGCTCCAGTATCTATCACAGTGAAAATTCAAAAGGGAGATTAAGCGAGAGGCGTACCAGGGACACCCAAGCAGAATTTTCCAGTATCAGAAATCTGAGAGGATAGAGTGGAGGAAACACGGTATTTCTTGGCTTGTAAGAATGGTAACAAAGCGTATTGGCCAATCCGTACTCCGCACTTCATTCGTCGTATGGCTTCTCCGCGGACAACTACCTACCTGAGAATCACGTCGTCTAGATGAGATACGTAGAGTAGTGAGAGAATGTTGAAGGGGATGGATCTTTGAGATCCTATGGATGTAGTTAACAGCGAGCCGATATATCTCAAAAATTGAGCAGCTTTCTATCTGCTGTTTACCCAGAAATGGCATGTATGCCTCTTGGAAATGAAAATGGATCTCCTGTCACGGCCAAGTCCTGTTGCCTGCATTGGGACATGGCGTTGAGGGGTGACCTAGACGGACCAACGAATCCACAGGGGCACAACCTCGAGGGGCCACACACTGACGACTGACGGCCGAGTTGTTCACGTTGTTGTTTCTTGACCATGCCCTGACGGGTCTTCGGCTGGTTTGATGAATCGGACTGTCTCGGTGGGTCGATACCTTCCGTTCGCCGACAGAGAAGGAAGAGAAGCAAAGAGAAAGTGTAGGATTCTGGACTTTTACTGAATTAACAAAAAGGAGGGGAAATCACCTGTTTGTTGAGTTAGACAGACTGAGGTGGGGGGGTAATAGTTTGATTAAGTAGAAAAAAGAAAAGAAAGCGAGTTCATACCATGACATCTGAGGCTATCGCTCTGTTTGAGCCTAGAGGCTATGGTCTCCACCACGGGCAAGTCGCTATTTTCCGCTTTTTTTTACTTTTTACTTTTTTCTTTTTTCTTTTTTACTCCTCTTCGGGTGGCTTCCTCAATCAACAATTGGATTCAAGCGACAAAGTGGGCTTTTTCTTCTTCCTTTGAACTCTTGCCCCAAGTCACTAGAAACAAAACTAATTATAAGATCCCTTTTCTTGTTAGTAAATAATTTTACCTCACATCTTCCCACCACCACTCCTTTTTCCTCCTCTTACCATCCTCAATCTATCGGTTTAGCAATCGTGCTGTATCTCTTATTCCATCATCAATTTCCTTTATGTCACATATCGACTTAGGCTCTTTCAACCTGACTACCATCCGCAACAGCCGCGCGTCTCCAGCGTTTGATTGATAGCCCTACAGGATTCAAGATCTTTATCTCCATATCGGCCTTTTTTCTTTTCTTTTATTATTATTAGATTTTTTCCCCTTTTATCCATTATCTTTTTTTCCCTTCTAGGCGCGGCTTCGACCGACCAAGTCCGTCAGCTCCGGTTCATCGCAATCGGGGTTGATAGTGCCATCACATACATACTTCGTTATCTTTTCTCTCTCATTTTGAGCGCTTCCTCTTTCGTCCTGGCTGAGTAGGCGGGGAAGGGGGGAAGACACAGAAAATTCAAGGGAAGAAAGGCAACAGGCGCATCGTCGCTATAATCACAAATGGTCTCTATGGTCGAGACCTCCAATTCAAATCACAATGACACGACCACGGATTCGGTCGTGCCTAAGTCAGAACCCTTGCCGGAGGGATCGACCAGTTCATCAGTGTCAACGCCTGAAGCAGAGGGTGAAGTCCCAATGCAGGACGTAGCCCAGACACAGAAGCGAAAAGGTGGAAGAAAACCCGTACGTAAATCCTTATCTTCACCACCTTTTTACTGTTCCGTTTTTATGGTTTCTATTTTTTGTTTTTTTTTTTGTTTAAAAGGCTTAGCATTAGCCGTTGACACATGAAATATCTTATCTACATCATCTTTATCTCTTGTTCCTGCGTTAATGTGGTGTGCTTTTCCCATGTGTCTGTGTTCAAATCTGGGGCCCCGCATTAAATTTCGCTTTATCATTTATCATCATAATTGATCATCCCTTATCTTTGCCTTCCCCCTGTTTACCTCATACCTTATTCTTAGTCTTATGTCTTTCTATTTTTGCTTCTCCTTATCTTGATTTTCATCTGTGCTTTTTATTGGTTCCCTCATGTTCTGACAGTTTAGTCCAGATCTATGCCACCTCGGAGGAACGCAAACAACGCAACAGACAAGCTCAGGCGGCTTTCCGAGAACGTCGCACAGAGTACATCCGTCAACTTGAAACCACTATCAAGCGCAATGAAGAAACCCTGCAGACTCTGCAGCAGAATCATCGTACAGCTGCCGATGAATGTTTGATGCTTCGATATAAGAATTCTTTACTGGAGAGGATCTTATTAGAGAAGGGTCCGTCAACTTCATTTGTCCCCTCCGTTCCTTACTAACGACCAGACTAGGCATTGATGTTCAAGCCGAGTTGCGACTCAAGGCCGGTGCTCCGCCAGGAGCACCAATCAAACCCAACATCATGGCTGCCAAACCGCCGTCAACACTAGACCGAGTGGCGGGCAACCGAACTTCGGCCCAGAGACTTCCAGCTGGCATTGCCCCTAAAGGGGAGCCGTTCGCCATGTCGCGTGATGGAGCATACGGCATTCCTTCACCTCAGTTCCAGGCCACTCCCTCATCACACGTGTCGTCCCCTTCACACACCAAGTCTCCCGGTTTTGCGTTCCAAGGAGCCATGTCCCCAAACGGGATGGACGCGCAACACGCCCAGCACGCGCGCTCTCAACTAAACCCACATTCCCGGAGCTTGAGTCAGACGTCTCCCCCGATGAGCATCGGTCAGCCCGAGTCGACCGATCCCAAATCGGCTGTGCCAGGTGCTACTGGTCCCAGAGTCTCCCGCGTGCCCTCTGCTGCGTACTATCCATCGCCATTCCAGAAACATTACGACCAACTTGGTAAGCTGACACTTGTTGCTGTCGTTGTATTGTTTTTCTTTCCAGAAGTGATTGCGTGTACTCATTCGTTCCCGTGTAGAACAGGAATATGACGCCCAGGCGGATATGATCGACGAAGAACATGAGTCGGTCGATGCACCTCCCTACGTCTCCGGGTTCAATGCCGCTACTACTTCAGTCCCTCCCGGCTCTCATTCGCTAGGGCCTCAACTCACCAACTTCAATCCGCATGCTGGGGAAGGAACCAATGGAGCATACGGTGCCACAAATCACCTTCTCGGTAGTTACGAGCCCATGCTGGACGCTGATCCGTTCGGATTGAGCGCTAGCATGCATTTCCAGACTCCCTTTAGTTATGAGCAAAACCATACGCGTCATTAAGCGTCGTTGTCCACTTCACTTGTTTTTCCATGTTACGGCCTACTAATTCGCATATGTATCAAATGAAAAGCATCACAAAAAGGGAGGCAAGTAACGATTATCTCACGGCACGTCCTTTCCTGCTTTCATACATGACGCCTCTGGTCCACGGATTCGGAAGATAAAAGTTATCATATTCGGTGCATTTGCCCGGCGTTCGGCATCGCGGTTGATACCACTTTCCTTTGTTGGGTTGCTGTCTATCGAAAACGGACAGAAAATTGTTCTGTTTGAATGTTTCGAGAGGGGGACAGAAAAGTTCAGATTCGCTGTAAATGATTATCGATGTTGGCGGCAAAGACTGCAGCATGATCCGGCATTTTCTCTCGACTCTATAACTACCAGTATATATATTTTTTATCCGACTGTGTTCCTGACGATCGCGCCATCATAGTCCTTCTCGTTACGCTCTTCGATATCTTCGGTTGCTGGAAATTACATCTGTAGCGTACGTACCTTAGTCAAGGTGCCCTTCAACTCCAAATGCTCATTGGCGGGCCAGACTGCAAAAGTTCAAATCAAGCAAGGTTTCTCTGGACACATGACAGCTCTATCTTATCCTCTTATGTTAATATTGACGTAGCGGTGCAGTCGTGCCCGTCGAAAGGGAGCTGACGCCCTTCACTCTTGTATGATGACATCTGCAGCTGCGAGTGACGCCAATACCCTAAGCCCTAGAAGCTGGCCGCCAATCACAACCCGCCTTGCCGGTTTCGCTTAGCAACAATCCGCACCTTACCCGATTAGTGCGTTGCAACCACAAACGTTGCCTCCATCCCCGAAGCCCTTCGCATCACCACACCCAACCCCTTCCCTCTTATCCCCATCATCATCAACCACCTTATCCTATCTTCTCCCCAATCCCTTTGAGGAGAGGTTCGCGTATCGAGACAGTCGTCCAGGTTTACACCTTGATCGACTCCTCCCCCCTTTTTTCTTCTACCGAATTGCCGCGGTAATAGAGAGCCTTCCCCCGGAAGGCCCCTCATAAAACCAGGCGTCATGGCGGACGTCCGGTCCAAGGTATGTGTGCGAAACGAGTGATTCTCCTGAAATTGTCGTGCTGCAATGCGATTCGCGATCGGGACGCTCCTCAATTGCATTTCGGTTCGAATTGAGAAACGAGAAACCAATTGGGGTGGGGTTCGAGCTATCGATCGACGCAGCAGAAAAAAAAAATTATGAAGCAAACAACACGTGAGGATTCAAGACTGTAACAATTGGCTAACTGGTGTTCGCATCAATATGAATAGAACCTCTACGAGCTTCTTGGTATTTACTTCCCTTCTCTCCCTCCGTGTCGTACCCGGCATCACGATTACATCATCTTGTTTCTAACACTGCCGCCTACGCGATCACAGGCAATGACCCTGAATTGGACCCCAACAGAGAGCCAGAACCCCCTACGCGGGCTGTAGACAGGCCTGCGCCCCGGCATGGCAAGCGTGATGCTCCCAAGGAGCCTGCCAACCAGCCCGACCTTTCTGAGAACAATGCTCGCCGTGGCGGTCGCTTCACTGGCAACGAGGCCGGTATGTGTTACTTGCTTTTATGTCACAAAAAGTTCCAGTGGACCGAATTACTCTGAACGCGGTCGTACACCGACTCGATGGTGGTGAATTTCGACTGATCCCGATCTCTTGATAGCTTTCCGTGACCGTCAGGCCGGCAGCCGCAGCAACCGTGAGAAGCCTCTCGATGAGGGCAAGGAGCCTCAGCGCCGCGCCTTCCACGCTCGTGGCGACCGTGGTGAGCGTTACCGCAACGATCGTCAGTCCCGCACTGGCCAGGTGTAAGCATTCGAGTACTCGATTGGAATAGAAGAGAATAATGAACTGATCGCGAACCCCGAAACAGCGACACCCGCAAGCAGGTGAACCAGGGCTGGGGTGCCCAGACCGGCGACAAGGCTGGTGACAAGGCCTGGGATGACGAGAGAGCCGCTGAGAACCTTGCTCAGAACGAATCCGAGCCCCAGACCCCCGCCAACGAGGAGCCCGCCGAGCCCGCCGACAAGACCAAGTCCTACGCTGACTACCTCGCCGAGAAGGCCGCCCAGGGCGACCTCAGCGCCAAGCCTGTCCGCGCCCCCAACGAGGGCAGCAACCTCGACAAGAAGTGGGCCAACGCCAAGGAGCTGAAGCGCACCCCCGAGGAGGAGGAGGCCTACATCAAGGGCAAGGAGGAGAAGGCCAAGCGCGAGAAGCAGCGCAAGGAGAAGAACGTCCTCGAGGTTGACATGCGCTTTGTCGAGTCCCCCCGTGGTGGAAGCGCTGGCCGTGGCCGTGGTGGACCTGGCGGCCGTGGTGGTCGTGGCGACCGTGGTGGACGTGGTGACCGTGGTGACCGTGGTGGTCGCGGTGGCCGTGGCAACGGTGCTCCCCGTGGTGGTGAGCAGCGTGGCGCCGCCCCCGTCACCGTCGACGAGAAGAACTTCCCCACCCTCGGTGCCAAATAAACCTGTCCAGCATTGACGGTTGCCCGGACGAGGGGGGAATGGTTTAGTTTCACTGGCCTAAGAGAATGTCGACCTAATGCCCCCTTTCAACTCTCGGAGAGTCTGACGCGATTATGGAAATTGGCTGGAACGAGCAAACAAAGCAACTCAAAAAAAGGAAATCTCACCGTCCTCGCGGTTTTCGTTTCCATCTCTGAAAATGGCCTATGTAATTTGATTTGAGTGTCAAAAAATAGGAAATTGAAAAACCAACTTAAAAAATTCTTAGATTCTCTTGTAAATCATGCGTAGCGTCAGTCCTTACTCTACCCCATTTATAATGGATGTGCCTACATGAACAATGATCCTCACAGTTGGTACTACTCGAACTGCATATATATAGGTCAACAGTCAACTATCAACGCAATAACCAAAGATACCCGGATACCCGGGTCGTGTCCAACCGAGTACCATAGCCAACAACTCCCAATTTAAAAGTCCGAAGTCCAGTGTCTTCTCTTACAGCTCCCCATTCTCGGACCCATACCCCCAACGACCGGACTGCATCTGCAACTCCTCCACCGCTCTGGCAGCTGCAGCCGTCCACTCCTGCAGCGTTTCCCGATCCGACTCATCATCGAGGAACGCCAGCCCCTCCATCGCCCGCCCGCCACAAGCGCGCTGCAGCGCCAAGAACGCAAAATGGCCGCCGACGACCGGCCGCGCGAAGAAGTTGGGGCCGGGGAACTCGCCTCGCCCCTCAGTATTGTGGAGATCCGTGAACGGCCGGTCGGTGACGGTCTCGTTGACCCATTTGGCGACGGACTCGAGGATCTCGCTGCGCGTGCGCTCGCTGGCGACCGCCATGGCGAAGAACTCCCAGTCCGTCTTCGTGTACAGGTGGCGGCTGTCCAGCGGGAGGCCGTATTTCTGGCGCACGTAGTGGTACCAGATTGACTGTTTCTGGTAGATGTGGCGGGGCACGAAGCCGGTTTTGGACGGTTTCTTGCTCTCAAGGGGGGTTTGGGCTTTCGAGAGGGAGGCCGGGAAGGAGTCGGTGCCTTCGAGGTGGAAGCAGAGCTGTGCGTCGGCGTATAGGTTGTAGATGGTGGTCCAGGAGCCGTACCAGTCGTAGGCGAGCTTCGCGTGTGTTCCATCGCGGGACATGCCGAATTGCTCCCATTTGGCGATGTAGGTGTCCGAGATGTCCTGCGGTTGTTAGTGCTGGCTGGCGTGTTGAAGGGAATAGGTGTAATACCTTGAAGTATGCTGCGTCGGTATCGTGTCCGGCTACTTCAGCCAGCTTGCTCATGGCGTTGATGCCGATGATGCCCTTCAGTGCTAGGTTGGTCTGCAGCGCAAGCCATCCGGCAAAATCATCCGTGGAGACTATTCAATTCAGCTTTAGCGCTTGATGGAAGATACAGGCATGGTCTTACGTTGGTTGGCGGGTTCCAGGGAGTATTCCACCAAGTAGCCCGTCCATTGAGTCCAGAGCCTGTAGCTGCGCTGAACCCATTTCTCAGCGAGACGCTCGCCCTCCGCACCACCGCCCCATTTGCCGTCTTGTTTATCAATTCCGGACAAGGCCTGCAGCTCACCCAGAGGAAAGTATCCAGTGTGTGGTTCCGAGACCTTGGGAGGAACACCTAGCGTGGACCAAATTGAAGAAGCCGCTGAATCATCGGTATACCGGAGCGAGTTCACGATTGCCAGGCCCATGATGAGAATGTTGCCGCACTCCTCAACTGGCATGTACTCATCACGACCGTCCGGGTGGCCGGTCGCGTTGGGGAAATGGGTCCCAAGATCGTGCATAGCGTACGTGTTCGGGTACTGTCCACTGAGCATGTGCTCGATTAATGGCTCTAGCAGGTAGGCCAGCCAGCGAGGGTTCGTATACATAAAGAAGGGGAACGAAGGGAAGATGACATCAATGGTCTGGAAATTGCCGTCTGAGGAGATCTCCTTCAAGAACAGGATTGGGTCATCGGGGGTTCCAGAGAATGTCGTTGCTCCCATGACCTGTCTGGCAGAAAGTGCGACAATGTCCATATAGTCATCCGCCCCGGATTGGTAGGCATCCTTTGCCAACCGATCAGAGTAATCGGAAGCGAGAGTGGCCGCATGGGTAAAGTCATTGTAGTGGAAGCTCAGCAGCTCTTCGGGATCCGCGAACCATGATCGCCAGAGTGGTCTCATGAGGGTCAGGCCGCGAGCAGAGGCAAATTGGACGACCGGATCCTGAATCAAAGCAATGGTGAACGTTACACTGTTCTGCGTGACATTTGTCCTGGTATCAGGTTTAAAAGACTTGGAGAATGCGAATACAGGCTCGCGATCTCCTATGGCACGGAAACCGTCGTCGTTCACGTTCTGGACAGCCCCATTTGTCGCGAAAATGTTGCGGACAGTGTGAGCATCGCCAGATTGATATTGGACATCCTAGGACTGCCAGTTAATAATCTCGTCGAAAGACGAGTGGGATAAAGCATAGATTACTGACAGCAGGTCCAGTAAAGTGGAGGGTGCCCCATTCGGCTCGATCACGGATTTCTGAGAGAAGAAGCTCATTCTGTCTGCGAAATTGCCATTTCTGAAGGGTCGGCGTCTTTCTTTTGAAACCGAAGGTGTCATGCTGCCAGACAATTTGACTCCCTGCATCTCCGCTCACCCAACGCCCATTGAGGTCTATGTAGACATTGACAGGCACATCGCCGTGGACATAGACCGTAATGTAGGACGCAGGAATCGACTGCCGCAGGGTCGATGTCGGGGTAATGGGGGACAAGAAAGAAACCGTAATTGCAACAGGACCAGCCGCTGAAGAGGCAGCCGAATCAATACGGTAGGTCAGATTGGTTGTCGAAGCATCGTACTTGGCCCCTAGATACACCGGATACTCGACTTGGGCTCTAATGTCAAATCCGTCAGATTGAGATGCATTTGATATTTATTTAATGTGGACCACAGATACAATATTACCATACCCGGACACAAACTCATGAGGCTTGCCCAGCAGCGGATATACAGTGCCGGTACTGGGGATCTGGGCCATCAAAGAGAGCCCAAGCTCTTCCCCGGTATAGAACATGGGCCATTTGGACCAAGGCACCTTTCGGGCATCCCCCAACCAAGTGCTCAGGTAAGGATTTCGCACTGTCAACGGCAGAACTGGAGGTGTGAGGGTTGATGCTGCACCGACAGCCGCCTGGACAACAGCGGCTGCCAGCACCGCAAGGGATGAGCGCATTGCGTCGGTGTACAGCAGAGTGTGTAACTAGGAATCCGGTTACAATCAAATCCGCATGCAGAGAATGGGGATACAAGGGACGAGATACAGAGCAGTGTAACGGAGGGCAATGGGTTTAAGAGAGAGAGGTTTCCGGGGCGGTCTGCTCGAAGGATGACGGACGATCAGTGTTAAAACAGGCAGATTGACTCAACTCCACATCGACGGACGATGCAATTCGTCTGGTTGGTGGATAGAGGACCACTGGAGACGCAATGATCGACTGAGAGACGGATTCAGTCCGGTCAGTCCAGTGGCGATGAAGCACGACAAGCCACAGAACCAGTGTCCCTTACGAAGAATGCGGGGAAAGCTCGGGATACTGTAGTGGAAGAGCCTAGGAGAATCAGATGATGTTGACTGGGCAAATAAGCCAGTCTGGGGTCGGCGTCTCGCTGATGATTGCTGAGACACCAAGCTCCAACTCGAGCAATGTTGATAGACTCGAGTTGCGAATGATGATTGAAGGTATTTTGGATCACTGAGCCAAGGAGATGATGTCATGCGGAGATGTTTTTAAGAGGACTGTTAGAGATTCTCAGTGATCAAAGAACAGAACGATTATGTCCTTTGAATGGTAATATGGAGACAGAAGGACCAAGATTCGTAGGTAGTCTGTGTCAGAATAATTCATGCATGGTTTCGAATCCTGGAATTCGTACGATTGTGGAGGGCTATACATACATCAACACCACATCGACCATCCACCAGGCTTGAATAAGATATCGTGAACAGGAGCAGACTAGTTAGAACAAGGCAATATTATCAAGAACGTCTCGCTGAGCATTTGCAATGGTGGAACATAGCATTGATCGACGATTGTGGCTATATCTCTAGACACCTCAGGCACATGCTTCTGATGACGGATAGAACAAGCATCAGAAATCAAAATCACCATCCATTTGATTTGAAGTTCGGGCATCAGTTCGGAATCTCTCAATTCCTGTAGAGACAACGGTACAAGAACGGCCAATAGAAAGTTATCTCCTCAATGGGATCGTTATACTTCATCGTGGAGGTACCACAGGGTACCTGAGATGTACCTGGATCCATCCACAAGAGCACCAGAGATCTGATTTTGATCTATGGTCAGCCTCAACACAGCTTAATATCGAGTAAGACGTTGCCTCTTGAGTTGTTCAATCAATTACTCCTGTCAATTATCTCTTATCACGACGCGTGGAGAGACGCGGGCGACATTTCAGAGTGGGCCTGGTCACAGCGGAGGTACCACTGAATACTGCGTCGGTACAACCAACCACCACAACTAGTACTGCTAAGGTACTTTTACACCGTACTATACAGCACACGCGCATCTCCAACGCGCTGTTTTCCCTACTTCTCTCCACCTCCTGCTTTTCTTTGGGGAGGAGATTGGTTTCTCAATTGTACTTTCTTTGCTTTCTCTGTATACATTCCTCGCCTATCTGACCAGGGTTGAAACATTCCTGACCCCAGAACAGCTCGCGTGGTGATCGTCCTCTACCGTTGTCCCACTCATATACTTTGAATGTTGCCGTCGCAATTCTACCTCTCTCAGGACGTCTCACTCTTTAATTCCTCCCTGCCTTTCATTCAAGCTCATTACAATGCAATCTACATCAAACTTCAGTCCCGTCAAAGACGGTAGACGCATCCTGGGCGACAAGACCCCCAACGCGTGTCTGTCTCCCGCACGCAGTAAACATCTGGATGCTGTCTCAGACATTTCACCAGTCAAACGCTCACTCTTTGAGAACCACTCTCCCAAGAAACTGCTTCCTTCACCGTCTTTTGTGGGCCAGAAGCGTACGATCGACCAAGTGGAGGCCGACTCCCGAATAAACAAAGAGAACGTGCAGGTCCAACGTGTCGAACAGGTGGAGGGAAACCATGAACGCAGCTTGCAGGATAAAGCCATTACTCAGGCCACAGCACCAAAATATGATCAGGTATGTTCATCGATCACCCATTAAGCTCTAGGACTGGCGACTTGGTACTAAAATTGCCTTCATAACAGCAACAATCGGACGCGATGCCCTCGAATGATACCCAGTCTACAGAGCCACAGCAATCCCATCAACAAACACGCCGACTACCTCTCAGCGACATTGTAAATCTAATCGACACCCCGAGTCCAAAGCAGACAACCAAAACCAATACACGAACAATTCCCGAAGACCCCATTACCCGCAAGTTGTTTATCCAGGAAGTAAGGCACCGCGTTCAAACCTGTAACCCGGCCTCTACTCACAAATACCAAACAGAAAGCAAGTCTACTGCGCAGTCGGATACGGAGCGCAATGCGCCACGTCCGAGACCACCAGTTCGACCGCAGATTATCAGAGCTGGAAGCCCACAGCCGCAAATACCCCCGACTATCACTGCCCGCCTTGAGTCAACAGCACACCGATCCAGACCCTGCACCCCGGCGCGAGACAACGATGGAAGCAACTGCAGTATTAGCAGCAGCAGCACTCGCCTCAACATCACCATCCAGGAAAACACCCCCTAGTCTCGAACCCGCCCTAGTCGAACTCGACCCCACCCCAAAGAACTCATCCGACGCACCCGCTGGCCTCTCATCTCCACCTCTATCGGCTGGGACAACCGCCAACCAGGAGGATGCGGATCCACTGAGGACGCCAACCCAGAAGAGCTTCCACCGCCGGACAGACACGCTTGAGTCACCCACAGCCATGCAGCTGAGTAGTCCCCCGGCCACCGTATCACGCAACGGAGGCAAGAGGACCATTGACATGACGGATGAGCATGACGATGAGGTCGGGGATGAAGACAATAAAACAGAGAAGATGGCCACGCCGGCACACAAGGGTGATGCGGTCGATGGGCTTCTTCAGCTGATGAATACGTCCGATAAACAACGCCAGTCGGTCTCGGATACCCGGAGCGAATGATACATTATTGCTGGTTGATGCATGATGCATGACATGTCTTGTATAGTATATAAGCCAGTGCGCTCAAGGCGTCTATGGATCCCTACGCGTCAGATAGGCGTGCACCTTGACAGGTACAATGGATGAATGCTTGGATGGATAGTCGATATAGACATGTATGCCAGGGACGAGACGCAAGCTATGCTTGATTCTACATCAAGATCATGTACACTGGTGGCAAGACTCCACCACGAATTAGCAGTATAAGACAAAACCCTGAATTGGCCAGAAGAAAACTCGCTAAAAGATCTATTTGATGGATGCTATATTCATGACACTGTGCGACTACCGCACCTTTTTCAACTTGTTCCGCTTGCGTCCCAACACGTCCCGCCCCTCGTCAATCTCCCCCATGGCCTCTCGCTTTGCCTCGCCGACTTCCTTGAGAACACCCGTTCGCACCACCCGACCCTCGATACTGACTCCCTCCTCGCTCCACTCCTCCATCTGCCGGCCGACGCGCTCCTCGATCGCCAGCACAAGCTGCACATCCCGCTGTCCGACCAGCGTGACGGCTTCACCGCTGCGGCCCGCACGCGCCGTACGACCGACACGGTGCACGTAGTCGTCCGGATTGCGGGGGACATCGTAGTTGATGACCAGGCTGACGGTGGGGATATCGAGACCACGCGAGGCGACGTCCGTGGCGACGAGGATGCGAGCCGCGGAGGCGCGGAAGCGGGCGAGGTTGGCGTTACGCTCAGACTGCGGCAGGAGACTGTGCAGGGAGGTGACGCGGTGGGCGAGGCGGCGGAGCATGCGCTCGAGCAGGTCGGCGGTCTTGGTGTGGTTGCAGAAGATGATGGCGGGTCTGGAGGCGTTGCCTTCTGTGGAGAGGAGGACGTGCAGGAAGGCTTCGCGGTGCGTCAGCGGCACCTTGAGGTAGGTCTGTTTGAGCGTGGGGGGGATCGAGCCCTGATTTTCCGTGGAGATCTCGGTCACGAAGACGGGCGGCTTGTTGGCGGATCGGGGCATGTCCTTCAGGGCGCGCACTTCGGGGGTGACCGTCGCGGTGAAGAGGAGCGTCTGCCGCTCGCTGGAGGGAGGCAGTGCGGAGAGGCACGTTTCGACGTCGGGGAGCATGCTGCCCGGCCCGCTGGCGAGCAGTCGGTCGGCTTCGTCGAGAACGACCATGCGGACCCGCTTGAGGCCGCACACTGTATCTTCGCCGGAAGACTTGATGTGGTCTGCCAACCGGCCGGGAGTCGCAATCACCACATGCGGTCTCCCCGCCAGAGCAATGGCCTGAGGTCGCATGTCCGTCCCGCCGGTGATGAGAACGGGCTTCATGCTCTGCGGAGCCGAGATGGCCTTGATCTGCTCGAAAATCTGCAACGCAAGTTCTCTGCACATGACCATATCAGCCTCGATCTACCTCTATCCCATACAGTGGGGAAGCATACCTCGTCGGTGTCAACACAACCCCGAAAATCCCAAACGGATCCTCCGCCCACTTCTGCAGCATCGGCACCGAGAATGCAATCGTCTTACCGGAACCAGTCCGGCTTCCTCCAATACAGTCCTTCCCCTTGAGGATCTCAGGTATACACGCCTTCTGAATCGCCGTTGGCTTCCTGACAGCCATCGTCGTCAGCGACCCAACCAGCCACGGCGCGACATTCAACGCCGCAAACGACGACGCTTCCTCCCGCAGCCCGATCTCCAACGCATCGCGGATCAGCACTGGATCCTCTTGACCTGCCGGAGCTGCCGGTTTCGCATCCTGCGCTCCTTTCTTCTTGATACGGGAGAGAGTGGGGAGCGGCGCCGGCGCAACGTACGAGTCGTCAGAGGATTCGGAGAGTCGTCGTCTTTTGGGGGCTCGCGTCAAAATCTCGGATTGGTCTACTTCGGACCCACTGGAGGAATCGTGCGTATCCTCAGATACCGGCTCTGCAGGATTTGGGGACGCCATTGTGTTTGTTGAATATCTTTTGCGACGCTGAAATTCTTCGAAATTCTTTGGCAAAAAAGGTGACCACGCAAAGGCGGTGTAACCTTCACGTGACTACACCACTTATATACAAGCCGACGTCGTCCAATAGATTCTTTCAAGTGTTTATGAATACAAGGGGTATTGGGTTGCTTTTATTATCTCCTCTGAGATGCGAGTGTATATATGCCAAAATCGAATCTGTCAATGTGACAGTCATCTGCTGACTCAATCCACCCTGCTCGTCGTACTTCTCCTCCGAACTGAAGACACTGGCTGCAATTCGTAGGACTCTCCTCTCTCCAAATCGTCCTCGATAGGCGATTCCGAAGACGAGTCTCTCCGGATCATAACGCCTCCATCTGAGTCTGGCTTCTTCGAGCCCCTATTTGAAGTATCCGCAGCCGAAGGCGCTGACAGTTCAACCTCGTCGTAACCATAAGTCCCGCCAACGCTTTCCATGGTGAACGGACTGGCTGTGGGGCCGTCCAGAATAGCAAGTTCTTCTTTTGTGAACCAGTATGGTAGCACAAACGAGGGTAACGGAATAAGCAGCAGAATAATCACCGGAAATCCAATAGCTGCAATCGTCTGGGTGATGGCGAATGTGGCGCCAAAACCGATCAATTCGATAATGACAAACACCCAAATGGCGAGTCTGCGCTCAATTCGTTTCAACGGATTTGAAGGAGACGTAAAGTCCTTGTCCTGAGCCAGGAAGATGAGTTTCTGCGTGATACCGTTGCCCTGGAGGGCTTGTACTCCCATGACGAAGAAAAGACCCGCCATGACGCCTTGAGGGATCAAATGCAGGACGATGAGAAGTGGACCGGTCATGGTACCAAGGGTCAAGAGACCCTGAGCGAGATTGCTGACTCGTTGCTCGACAACGTGGTCAGTGACGCGGATCGTTTTGCCTTTGTTGGTATCATCTTCATCGGCCACATCGCGTGTAACGCAAAGTGCAGCTGTGTGAAAAGGTGCCTGTGGAATCAGTCCATTGGGGAACGGGAGACCGAGGATTCCAGCTACAAAGGTGGTGAGACCTAGCAGCCAGATATCCCAGTGGAAGCCAGCGGGTTTGCGTAGAGGGAACTCTGTTCCCTGCGCAATCAGTGATGACACTAAGTAGTATGTCAGCCACTATGGTTCGACCGATAACCTTCAGAAAGTGAGAACCCACCATTGTGGTCGAAGTAGAACAGAATTGTCAGAAGAAGGGCAAACGGAATGGCAAGAAAGATGTCCCCAACACTGATATTCCAGAAATCCACCAGCCAGTCACGATCGGCGGTGGGAAAGAAGGCTTTGCTAGTGGGCAAGGTGGCAACTTCGACATCCCTCATATGGCCAATGTGGACGAATCCAGTGAAGAAAATGATAGTCAACGGTGTACCGTAATCCTCCAGGAATTTACGGACATATCTCTGGAATAGAGTACTGTTGCCGAGCTCTCCGCAAATCCATCCACTCATGAGGACAAGAAGGGCAACCATAATACTCAGGTAGGCGGAGGTCTCCCCGACCTGGCCCCATTGTCTGGTCAGAACCTGAATCCCTTTCTGCAGATAGATGAAGGCCACGTAGAACCCAAAGATGTCACATGAAAAGCGGGTGACATAAGTCAGGCCGTTGCAAGCGTTGGTGATGGCCAAAATCCAATGCATAATCAACGACCAGCTTCGACAGTCAGCACAAGTAAGAGAGTCATCGAAGTAAAGAAGACCTACATCCCAATCCAACACATGAAAGCAAGGTAGGGCGTCCCACGCGGCGACACGATATCGTAAACAGTGTAATTAAACACCGTAATCGGACCTGGGCATACAGGTGAGCGTCATCACAACTAACTACCAGAATCTGAACAAACCCACCAGTAACACCAACAATAACCAAAGGCTGCGCAGCGAAGACTGAGAAAACAACAGCCCCCAGAACAGAGGCCAGAAGAACCTCATTAACCCCATAACTCTGCTTCGTCTTCTCGAACATGTCTAGCGAGAACGCCAGAGCAGGCAGAATACTGCACCAGTCAGTTTTCCTTTTTCATTCCGCGAACAGCCCCGACAGAGAACTTAACGCCATACTCACTTGGCAAAATACATATAAACAGTAGCAGGAATAACGCGATAATCCCACGCATCCGTCCAATCACTCCAGTAGAACGGTGCCCTCCGCTTGATATCCTTGATCATGCCGCGGAAGAGCCGTACCCGCCACCACTTGCTCGTCCGCACAGACGACACGCCAGTCTGCACCCTAGACAGACCCTCAGCACCATGCTGTCCTTGGGAAACACCGCCATGCTGGTGCTGGGAGTGCGATTTGCCACTTCCTAGTCGGGCATGCTGCGACCCTGACTGCCAAGGATTCCGCTGGGAGTGAGATGAGTGGACCGAGCCATGCGAGGTTGTAGTGTGTAGATTTGACCTCGAGGGGACGGGAATCTCTTCCCGAGAAGAAGTGTGCGAGGCTCGACGATTTCTCTGCATGTTGTACGGCGTACGTACAGTTGTACCACGCTTTCCTGGCCAAGACGAATTGTGCTGGCAGTGAAGTGAGATAGGGGAGACCACGTCAACCGCTCTGCGGCTGCGGGAAATCTAGTGTCAGGAGGATATTTCAATCCTATTTAGGTCTTCTAAAATCTTGGAGATTGGGAAAAGAAGCGATAATGGATAAACAACATTTAAGCCTGAGGCACCGGTTGTCTAAGCATAGCGGTCTAAGCATTCCTTTACCGCTGACATCATCTGCAGTCCCCCGGCATCTACATGAAACCCAGAGGGCGCGCTACACCATCAAGCTGAATTCTACGGACGGATCTGGAGTGAAGCAATAATTTGCATGGATAATCAATTACAACACAACTAGTGGCATCAATGTCAACTCCCATATTAGCTCTGAAACTACCAATGGCCAATTTCCCTGCGCGCTTTTGAAATATCACACTGCTCGCAAAGCAGGCGCGCTTATCGTGTTTGCCGATACCTCTCACAATCTTACTTTTCATGATGCAACGGCGGGTATATTGCTGAAACATCCTTCGTGCTGCATATTGTCTATGCAGAAGGGGGAGGAGGTGGGGGGAGTTCACTCGGAGGCTATGCGCAAGTTAGCAATCTTGTTTGAATACAAGTTGGTAAAAGGGGAGAACGTACAGGAGGTGGGGGTCCTTCGCCAGGGGGAGGTGGCGGAGGGCTGCCAGAGCCGTAGTACATGGAAGGCATGCCGGGCGGAGGCGGTGGAACACTCAGACCCGGAGGAGCACCCGGGGCGCCCATACCAGGCACAGCTGCGCCATAACCGGGATAAGCACCATATCCATAAGCACTTGCTCCGCCGGGTGGTGGAGGCGGAGCTTGCTGTTGCCAAGGAGCAGCGCCACCAGCAGCAGCAGCACCGGGGGCGCCGTAGCCACCTGCATGCGATCCGTATCCATAATCGCCGCCACGGCTCTGTGCGGCCCACGGAGGTGCACTGCCCTGATCGCGGGATCCGTAGTCGTCGCGAGAGCGGTTGTCCCGCCCTCTCTGCTGCCAGGGAGCCACATCGCTGGGAGGAGGGCCGCGCTGCCATGGCTTCGCGTCACGGTCATCGTAACCTTGGTCGGGACCGGCCTCGATGCGGCGAGGAGGCTGGCCGTCCGGACCTGGAGCACCGCCGGACAATTCATGCATAAGTTGCTGTTGACAATTAGCATCTGTTGTTCGAGAATAAAGAAAAATTTTATTGAACTTACCTCCATCTCACGATCGACGGCATCGCCTTGCCCGATAGCTCTGCGGCCACCGCCATAACCACCGCCATTCCGCCAGTCGGAACCTCTCTGGCGATCAGGACAATCGCGAGCCATATGGCCAGCATTGCCACAGACGCGACAGATGATGTTGGCGGTAAAGTTACGCTGCTCGGGACAGTCGTACTTGCGATGTCCGATTTGGCCACCTGAGCGAGTTAGTATAAGCAATTCAAAGCGAAGGATAGTGATCTGAAAACTTACAGTTCTGGCAAGCCTGATTTTCATCATCACGGAGGGTACCGTTGAGAGCAGCCAACTCCCGCAACTGGTTTCTCTTGAGTTCATTCTGGCCTTCGGGAATCGAAGCAGCCTGTCATGCGTCGTTAGTATCTGAATTTCGTCCCAAGGGAGGCACATAAACTTACTGTTTCAATAACATTGTGCACAAGCTTCTTGGCTTTGTTAACCTTCTCTTCCGTATCTGCCATGATCAGACAATGGAGGTCTTCTTCCTGGTTACTAGCGTGAGCCGCGTCAGATCGACCTTTTCCTTCTTTGACGGAGCCTTTGCCTCGAATGGCAATCTTGGCGCCAGATTCGGTCTCCATCTTCTTCAAGGTATTTCCACGAGGACCTATGAGTAAGCCAACTTTGAAAGGTAGCAAAGAGCTAAGTGTTAGTTCACGATGGTTATTCAAGGAGAGCAAAGCAATGAAAGCAATATAGTCAAGTAGCAAGGGTTAGCAGGAAGCGAGCCTTTGACACATCATCACAAGGCGATGTCTCACGGGCCCGACTCGAGCAGAGAGCCAAGAACGACACAATGTAGGAACGGTTAGGAGTTAGAGGGTTAGTTATCATACTGAAGTTAATCTCTGGATAGTCATTCACTGGAACATAGACCTTCTCCTGGGTCTTGGTTGGGCGCCTGTAGTCAGAGGGCGGGTGGTAGTTAGGAATGGTCTTCATGGCCTTCTCGACAAGCTTGTGGCGCTCGTCCTCGAGACGCTTCCGGTAACGGTATTCCCTAGTGTTTACACGTCTGCCAAAGTTATCGTACTGCGGAGGTGGCGATGGAGATCTGCACAGAAAATCGTTAGCTCAGCGAACACTTGAAGATAAGAGAAACGGGGATGGAAACGAACCTATCACCATCCGCAGGAACAACATCGTTGATACGGAGCTTCTGACTGATCTCCTCAATACGAAGATGCAGTGTGTAAGCCTCAAGCTGTTCATT